GTCACGGAAGGCTCGCTCCAAGCCACGGTCCAGCTCTGCGGGGCCGGAACGAGGCCAGATTTCTCCTCGCAATCCCCGAACCTACTCGTATAACAACATGATGTCGGACTTGTCAGAAGAGGCGCGGATCATCACTGAGACGCTGGAGTTTCATGCTGACGAGCGAGAGCGTCGGCGTGGAGAGACTTTGCAGAGCGGGCTGTCTTCTTTGAGGTCTAGCACGGACTCCAAGCAGGGCTCCAAGACACCGATTGAGCTGCCACCGTTGCAGAAGTCGAATATCATGATTGACCCGTTGCCTATCAGCAAGGAGAAAGAAAAGGTGCTGAGTCGGACACGGCCAAGCTGGCTGCCGCCTAAGGATCCTTTGGAGGAAAAGCGGCATTTGAAGGAGTACAAGAAAATGATGGCACAGTCTCGGGAAGCAGGTAAGTCTGCGTCCAAGGCTAGCTTCGACAGGCCACTAACCTTTGGTACAGACAAACGTCGAGCTGCCAAAGTCGCTTCCGAGAAATGCGAGAAGGACAATACCCGGGAAACCCTCCAACAAATCTGGGACGAGTACGTCTATCCAAACTGGGATAACGTCATTCAGGAGCCGCGCACGCGGGAGCTCTGGTGGCGCGGTGTGCCGCCGCGACTTCGGGGATCGACCTGGCAGCGGGCCATCGGCAATGAGCTGGCTCTCTCCGACGAAACGTACAAGAAGGCGTTGCAACGGGCCAAGGACGTGCGTGCCCGTCCGGACAGTGATACTGGGGAAAGCAACAAGCGAATGCGGGAGTGGTTCGCGACTATCGAGCAGGACGTGTCTAAGGCTTTCCCGGATTTGAAGCTATTTCAACCTGGTGGTCCACTTCGCGAGACGTTGATCGACGTCTTGGAGGCCTACTCGATGTATCGGAGCGATGTTGGATACATCACTGGACTGCATACCATCGCGGCCCTACTGGTCCTCCAGTTCCCGTCTCCGTCCTCCGCGTTCCTCGCCATGGCCAATGCGCTAAACCGCCCTCTCCCTGTTGCCTTTTTGACACTCGACCGCGGGGCTATCGGTCGGACATATTCGCTAGCGTCCGCGACGCTTAAATACAAGTTCCCACGTCTTTCAACGCACCTCTACGAGACACTCCGTCTCAGCGATGAGGAAATCTGGGAACCAATGTTCCGCTCCCTCCTGACAAACGGGCTGGACTTGGAGCGTCTCAGCAGAGTCTGGGACTGCTGGGTATTCGAAGGTGATCGGATCATGATTCGCGCGGCGGTCGCGACTCTGGGCAGCTTGCAGCTGCAGCTGTTTGGCTTCACCAAACCCGATGACCAGAGTCGACAGTCGGTGCAGGGGATCCTGAGCTGGGGACCGCGTCAGGCGGGGACCAACAGTAGCACAGAGCAACGCCACAGTGCACCGGCAGCTCCTATGCCGGCAGGATTTGGTGGTGGAGGTCTAGCATCTTCCGGGGTTGGTGACTACTGGCGACTCTCCTCGGCAGGCGACGAGGATGGATTTATGAGCGAGGTGAGAGAAGCAGGGAAGGTTCGGTGATTGCTTCCATTCGTTTCTCATTTCTTATTCTTGAACATAATTCTGCTGCAGTGGATACAATATTGGCTGCAACTGTTAATAGGATGGACTGGTCTGTCTTCAGTTCAGTGGGTAGTAAATCAAACTCGCTGTGAATACATAGGAACTGTTGTTTCTGTTGGGCTATTTTTTTTTCTTGTGACCTGGTCAGTTCACTAGCTGGGTAGCTATAGATGATACAGATAAGGGGCTGTTCCTGAATGTACTTAGCAGTAAGGTAAGCTGAGATCAACAGGGACCGATGGTTAGTGATCCGATCGTATACTACTTTTCACCTTTACCATCACCATGACTTCATCCGCGCCGGCGCCGAAAACGTCATACTGATGATGATGCCCCAACAATCCCTACATTAAACCCACTCAATCACGCCAGCCAAACGATTCTTCCACGTACTACCATCATGTTCAATCGCAGTATTCTGTTGCCACGCTCTCTTGGTGCGTCATTACGCCATCGCCCAAGCAAGCTATATAGTCGTCTTTCTCTCCCCGCCAGTGCGACTGCATCCAGAGCATTCGCAACCTCACGACCTACACCATTTGCAGTGACCACACCTCAATTCAAGCATTCCAAAACCACAATGGCAGCGGAAGTCAGCAACACCAATTTTACTTTGGAGAGCCTCTTCAATGTCAAGGACAAGGGTACGTTTCAGCCTCAAGGCCTTTGACCCCTTTACGAGCTCTCGCTCCATACCTTCACCCCCACTGCCCTTCCTCCTTTGCGATACACGTTGTACTAACACGACACACAAACAGTGGCCCTCATCACCGGCGGCGGCAGCGGCATCGGCCTTATGGCCACGCAGGCGCTGGCCACCAACGGCAGCAAAGTGTACATCACGGGGCGGACGTCGGAGAAGCTGGAGCGGGTGGCGGAGCTGTACGGCGGCAAGGCCGTGAAGGGGGAGATCATCCCGCTGACGGCGGACGTGACGGACAAGGCCAGCATCCAGAAGCTGGTGCAGGAGATCTCGTCGCGGGAGTCCGGCCGGCTGGACATCCTGATCAACAACGCGGGGATCAGCAGCAGCACGCAGAACACGGAGCACGACAACGCGGTGGACCTGAGCAAGGCGCTGTTCGACGAGAGCTCCTCGCCCGAGGAGTGGGAGAGCGTCTACCGCACCAACGTCGTGCACCCCTACCTGGTCACCTCGGCCTTCCTGCCCCTCCTGCAGAAGAGCAGCGAGCAGGCCCACGGCTGGAGCAGCACCGTCATCAACATCACCAGTATCTCCGGCATCGTCAAGACCAGCCAGCATCACTTCGCCTACAATGCTTCCAAAGGTGCGGCCATCCATCTCACCAAGATGCTGGCCCATGAGATCTCGAGCTCCGGGCTGCGCATCCGGGTTAATAACATCGCCCCCGGCGTGTTCCCCAGTGAGATGACCGCCGGGGAGAGTGATGAGAAGCAGAAGAATGCCCTGGAGAAGCAGAAGTATGAGGGTAAGGTCCCCGCGGGACGCCCCGGGAAGGATGAGGATATGGCCAGTGCCGTGTTGTTTGCCGCCACCAACCAGTATCTGAATGGTCAGACGTTGGTTGTTGATGGAGGCTATGTTTTGGCTGCGGGTACTGTCTGATTGTGGCTGAGTGTGTGGAAATGATTAATGTCTTCTTACGAGAATCTTATGTCGATAATGGATCGTGGCGCTGGGGTTGACCCCAAGCTGGTCCCTAATGGTATCATATTATCTCTGATTTCTTCAGTACGTCTGCTTGTAGTTACCGTGATGTAAGTCCTCAGCCTACAACTTAGCCTTTTCCACCTTGATCGCCTCGCTTTCAGGCACCACCTCCACCATCATCTTACCCGTATTTACACCATTGAATAGATTGATCAACTCCTGGGGCGTGGTCTCCAGCCCCCCCTTCACGATGTGCTCCTTCCGCTTGATCTTCCCCTGACTCAACCACGTGCCCAGCTCCCTCAGCGCAGCCGGGTACTTGTCGGCGTAGTCAAACACAATGAACCCGCGCATAGTGATCCGTTGCGACTATGTTTCGTTAGCAGCCATCATCCATTCCACCGCACCGCTCGCTAGGATACTCACAATGACCATCAGATAATTCTTCGGCCCCTGGGGCTTCTCGACATTATACTGGCTAATGGCGCCGCAAATGACAAAGCGCGCCCCCTTCGCCGCGCGGAACAGACACGCATCCAAGATCTCACCACCCACATTGTCGTAATACACATCAATATAGTCCGGAGTCGCCTCCTTGAGCTGCTTGCGCCAGTCCGCATCCCGGTAGTTGATGGCAGCATAGAACCCCAGCTCCTCGCGCAGGAACCGACACTTGTCCGCGCTGCCGGCGATGCCGATCACGCGCTTCGCGCCCTTGATGCGCGCGATCTGGCCGGCCACCATGCCCGTGGCGCCGGCCGCGCCGGACACGACGACCGTATCGCCGCATCGCGGCTGGCCGACCTCGGTCATGCCGAAGTACGCCGTCAGCCCCGTCATGCCCAGCACGGACAGCGCGTCCGTGGGCTGGCACCCGGCCGGGATGGTGATCTTCTCGACCGCCTTCGCGGGCAGGATCGCGTACTCCTGCCACCCAGAGTGCGCCGCCACCCACTCCCCGGCCTTGTAGGTGCTCGCCAGCGCCGGGCTGACCCGCAGGATCTGGGCGATGCTCTGCCCGCGCATCACGCTGCCGACTTCCACGGGCGCGATGTACGACCGTTTCGCCGTCAGCCATTGCCGCATCGCCGGCTCCAGGGCCAGGTAGTGGATGCGCACGAGCACTTGATTGTCCTTCAGCGGCACATCGTCGGGGAGGGTCGTGGTCTTCAGGGTGAAGGTGCCGGTGCCGTTGAGCGAGGGGTCGATGGCCGCCTTCGGCGGGTTGGTGTAGATTAGTTGGCGGTTGGTGAGAGGCATTATGGGTGGATGGTTTGTTCTTGGATGAGGATGGGACTGTGGGTATCTTTCGGAGTTGGTCTTGATGGAAAGGGAACAGAGATGGCGAGGAGGAAGGTCGAAGGGGGTCGTCGGCCCAGATTATGGTTTGGAATGGATTGAACCTCGGCTCATGGAGAAGAAGCTCTTTGAGGTAAGATGTCCGACCAGAGGGTCGCACAGCCGAGGTGGGGGTGTGGCATCTGGGGATTAGTGCTCAGAATTTGGAAAAACGAGAATTCGGACCCTTCATAGGGAAAGACAGTATCTTAATACGAAGAGGAGACAACAGCTTAAGTCTGTATAGACTGGAATTGCAGTCGTGAAGGAAAGGGGTGCATAAGTAGATAAGTATGACTAAGTCAGCACAAGCCAGCATAACTTATCTTCTTGCTATGCCCGTCCATGACATCATCCTTCCTCCGTCTCTAATCGATAAGATAGATCACCTAATCGGCTGCTCCAAGTATCTACGAGGTACGGAGTACTTCCAGACTGTATCATGGATGTTAAGCACTCTTGAAATGCAGCACTGCAAGCCTACCTTAGGTCATCGTGTCGCCCATCTGAAGAAGGGACTGTCGATCCACCAAGCCACGGCACAGAGCCTTTGTCTGACTGGTCACATCCCACCCCACGGTTTAGAGAGCTTGCCCCCCAGGGGACGACACTTTGTGATCAAATTTGACGTCACCGGCTCGCGCGATGATGTCGATGTCGCTCATTTTGCCTTCGATGATGGCTATATAACACCCAGAAAGTGACAGGTGGAGTGGACTAACAAAGCTTGAATCCGAATCACCCATCACCTTTTACCTACCATCACGATGAATACTACTTCGCAGACCCCATACTTCGACACCAACGCCGCGGCCACCGGCACTGCTACCCAAGCTGGTATCACCAGCACAGGCGATGCGAGGACCGGCCCGGCCCCGACCACTGCTGGCCCGCATGGCTCCGACATGGCCAACAAGGCCGATCCGCGAGTCGACAGTGACCTGAATAACCGCGCCCAGTACGCCCCCGGCACGACCACCACGGGCAACGTGCACCCGCAGGCCACCGCGGGGACCGCAACCACTTCGACTTCGGGCACCTCAACGCGGGGCCCGCACAACTCCTCGCTGCTGAATAAGCTGGACCCTCGCGTGGACAGCCGCACGGGGGAGAAGTCCACCAAATCCACAAACCAGTCGGGCTCGGGTGCGATGCGCGAACCGACCGATACGACAGGCACCGGCACCGCGGGCGGAGTAGGCTATCAGCCTACGGTGCCGTCCTCTAGCCAGGGCACGCGGGCGGCCGGCGGTGCTAATCCTAGTACTACCGCTACCGCCCCCGCTGACACCACCAACACTGTTCCTACTACTGGGACTACCGGCACTGCTGAAACTACTGGCACTGCTGGCACCGCTGGCACAAGCACCACAGCTGGCGGTCAGTCGGCGCGCACGGGCGAGAATGTCGGGCGCGGGGTTAAGTCGGTAGCGGCGGGGATCCACGTAAGTCACTAATCTCAATTATCACTGGTTGCAGCCTTGCACCTTTGCAGAAGCTGACGGGCCATTAACAGGGGGCCGGAGAATCGCTCCGCGGTGGACTCAACGCAGCTGTCGACTCAGCCTTTGGCCACGATCAGGGTGCGGCCAAGAACGCAGCCATTGCGGACAAGGGCGAGCGAGAAATTGAAACCGGGCGATTTGGGCGTTCGCACTGAAACAAAATTGGCCTCATAGCTCGGGACTTCTAGTTTGGGTTTTTTTTATGCGATTACGATGATATGACTGATGCTTGTTGCTTGATTGTTTTCTTTGATTAGTCGACAGAGTGGATCCAGCCAGATGGCTGCCTGTTTGTAGCCAACGATTGTCGATTTTCGATTCGATTGTGATGGTGTAATGAGCAACGATGTACAGTACTTTCTTTGTGCAGTATTAAATATGCATAACTGTATAACTGTATATGATATGTGCACTGTGTATGGAGTAAGTATGTATGATGAAGCAGAGTGTTTGTGTTTCCTTGGCGCACGAGGTAGCTTGTAGCTAATGTTACGGACTGGGTCATCGCCAGAGTCAGCGTTTCCTTATCCAGCATGAAACTCGGCTGAGTTGAATCCTTCGCCAGTTTACCAGCTTACCATTGCTATTAATACGTAGCATCTGCTCGACCAAACGATCTTTCAGATGTCGGGGGAAGGAAAGCTTCGCCCTGATCCACTGTCGACTGAGTGGTTTCTCAGCCTTCCGGCCCTCCCGGGGCTGTGCCGGTGGAACCGTTTTCTTTCTTGCTCTTCTCTCTCTCTCTTCTTTTTTTTTTCTCCAGCTACTCGTACTCGTTCTTCTTTTGCTCTTTTTTTTCCCTTTTTTTTTTTTTCTCTCTCTTCGCTTTTACATCATCTTCCGAACTGCTAGGTTATTTTCTCCTCCAATTCAGATTTGCCCCCCCTATCTTCCGATCTCAGTTACTCCTCCGTTTCTCTCCTTGCTGCTTCTTATTGATTCTATCCCTCTATCGTTAATCAATAAACTAGCGATGGCTCCACCTCCGACGGCTCCGTAGTTCTACTTTAGCTTCACCTTTTCCTCCTCGCCCCTCCCATCATCATCCACTTTCACATGGAGCCTCTGTTGACTTGCCTGATTCCGTGCAAGCTATTGCGTCGTTGCTTCTCCAATTCCCTTCTTATCTATTGGTGCCCGCCCCTCAATGGGTAGATTCTCTCCTTCAACAACCTCATAGCATCCAACATCATTCACCATGGCGGTGCACATGCAACCGGCTGGTGGTCATACCAGCTCCGATAGCGAAGACCCGTCTCTTCGCGATCCCACCCGGGAAGATGAAGCATATGATATGGTCGGGGTCAGTATTAGTCGAACTCAGAGTCGCATGAAGGCCCGTCGCACGCCGGCTGCCGAGAAATCCCGCGTGATGGACCAGCAGGGCGGATACTTTGATGCCATTCCCGACTCTCCCGAATCCGACAGTGGTCTCTTTGCTAGCCATCTCACCCAAGAACCCGAACAACTGCAATCCTCGCAACCGCATCCTGTGCAGCCGCATCGCTCGCGAGGTGCCAAGGAGAAGCTGAAAGACCATCGGAGTAGTTTTACGCGCTCTCTCCTCAAGACCAGTCTGCCGCTGCGCCCTCGGGCCTGGTCCGGCGACTCCATCACCAACCTGCGTCTGAAGAAGTTCCTACCGGACTCGTGGACGAAACGCATCGCCAGCCAGCCAGCTCCACGCACCGTCAAGCCCGCTCCCGGGCCGGCGCAGAGACGATCTTTGACCGACGAGTCTACGGACGAGCCCATCTCCGATCTCAAGCCTTTGGCGGGGGCCACCGCCGCCCGCCATTCGTATGCACGGCGGCCGAGTGCCGCCGTCTCGGGCAAAGCGCCGCCGATGTTGCGGCGCTCATCCTCTGATCAGTCGCTCTATCTGCGACGCTCCTCCACAGCCTCCTCGCTGGAGCAGCGTCCTCGTTATGAGCATATTCATTCCCAGGTGAATAGCCGCTTCAAGGCCATCAAGGACAGTCTGCAGGACTCCAGCAGTCGTCTTTTAAGCATGCCCACCTTGCACCTGCAAGATCTCCGCAGCGACTGGGGCTATCGGCCTTTCCTCTCCGAGGTCTCCCATCCCCGAAAGGTCCACGAGGAGGAGCCTGTTGCGCCGCATGAACAACCGCCAGCTGACCCGACGGGACCCTCGTCGCTGCCACCACCACCACGCACCCGTTCCCCGCGATCTAGCTCCAGTGCCCAGCACCCTCGCCTAGCTGACGCGATGGATGATCTGACGGGCGACGTCGTCATTCTAGGAGGCTATCGAGGCTCAGTTCTGCGTTCTGCCAAACCTCCGCAGCGCCAATTGTGGGTACCGATGAAGGTCGGCTTGAACCTGCGCAAAGTCGACCTCGAGGTGGGTCTGAACCCGGAAGACGAGGAACGGATGGAGGAGACCATCATTCCGTCCGGAGTCTTGTCGCATGTCGGGCCCGTGGACATCTGTCGCCGCTTGATGAAGCGGCTGCAGAAGTGTCATAACTCGACGCGCGGGGATCTGCGCGTCTGGGATTACGGCTACGACTGGCGTCTGAGTCCGCACCTCCTGGCGAAACGGCTGATCAAGTTTCTGGAGGGCCTTCCAAGCAATGCCCCGGGCACGCCCCGTGAAAAGCGCGGGGCATACGTGATCGCCCACAGCCTGGGAGGGCTGATCACGAGACATGCCGTCAACCAGCGGCCCGAATTGTTTGCTGGAGTTTTATACGCTGGAGTACCGCAGCACTGCGTCAACATCCTCGGGCCGTTGCGCAACGGCGACGATGTGCTGCTGAGTTCGCGTGTCTTGACGGCTCAGGTCAACTTCACCTTCCGCACCAGTTTTGCCCTGCTGCCCGAGGACGGGCACTGCTTCATCGACCAGCGCACCAAAGAAGAATATCGGGTCGACTTCTTCGACGCGCAAACCTGGGATGAGTATCGACTATCACCGTGCATCAACCCGGCCCTGCCGGTGAGTAGCCCCAGCCGGGGCTTCGTAAAAGACAACCTTCCTCTTATCAGCAAACGTCTCTCAACTGTCCTAAACAGCAAAGAAAGCCTTCCGAGCAGTGGATCGGCTTCCTCATCTGATGGCGGCGAGGCATCCAACTCTTACAAGCCAGCACCGAACCAGAGTGCCAACCCACCGACCGCAGCGGCGATGAAACCCGCCCCTGTGGCGCCTCCCGCCGTCGAAGGGGCCATTGGCCCCAACTCTAACCTACGCGGTTCGAGCAACACCAAGGTCACCACCGCCGTGACCATTCCGCGGGCCACCGCTATTACCTACCTCGAGCGCACTCTCGCCGAGGTGCGACGCTTCAAGGAAGAGTTGGTCTTCGATGCCGCGCATCAAGCGAACAATCGGTATCCGCCGTTCGCCGTGCTGTACGGGAAGTCGGTGCCCACACTATACGGCGCGCGAGTCGCCTCGCGGGAGGCCATCAAACGGCAAGACGCGTACGACGACCTGGCCTTTGCCGCGGGAGACGGAGTGTGTCTGGCGTCGGCGGCCATGCTACCCTCCGGATACCGTGTCATCAAGGGGGGGTTGGTCAAAAGCGAACGAGGCCATGTCGGTCTCTTGGGAGATCTGGAAGGTGTGGGCCAATGCCTGCAGGCGTTGATCCGGGGTCGCCGAGAAGGAGTGGGACTGGGGCAGTCCCCTGGTTCTTCGTCTTGATTGTTGTCTTTTGCCTAAACCCCTCGCCCCTTCATTAGACGCACATATTGCTTACTGGGAGCACCTTAGACTCGATACCCTCTTACTATTTATTGTTTATGACTATGATGGATGACATAATGAAAAGTGATCTAAGCGGATGTTTGGACCTGTCCGCGGCTTGACCTGTGCATATTGGCCTGAATCTCCTCTCTGTACTATGCTATTTTTATGTACTGTACATATTTACATTTACACTTGAGCCATATACTGTATACACTGCACCATCAGTTCCTCAGACTCTATGCTCGCCAATCAATTCATTAGCAGCAAATACTTGGAAAGTTCAAGATCAGCAAGAACGTTCAAGGCCGTGGATAATGACGCCAGCCACGTGGTTAGCGCTTACCGAGCCCGATCCGGCCGCGCAATGGTACGACTCGGGATGTACTCTCCTGTAGAAACCTTGAAGGATCTCCAACAGAGCCAATCCAGTCTAGCCCAAGGCGAGCTGATGACAGCACTGCAGAAAGTCCAGCCTACTCGTGAAAACACTATAAACTACAGAGTGCCTACGATTCAATCCCTTTCCCCTCCTCCTCCTCCTCCTCCTCCTCCTCCTCCCTCCAAGTTTCTCCAATTCATTTGAATTCAAATTATCC